AAGTGTAAAGAATGCTGTTAATCTTTAAAATGACAGATTTGACATAGTGTCGTTGGCACAAGGTGACCGCCACTCACAGTTCACACCCAATTCGGCCGAGTTTGAAGGGGATAACGTAGCACGACGACCTCTGTGAAATAAAGATAAGGCCACACAAAAAAAAAAAATCAAATTTTTGATCTTGGCATCCGAGTATCCTAAAATATGGTGATAAATAGAGTGACATTTTCAATCCATTTGTTGGAGTTTTAAACGATTGAAAAATAGAGTATTTTATAATAATATTAAATTCCTTCCTACAGTATAAATAACATGAATATTAATCATTATTATTATCTGGTTTTTAAGAGGTGTTCCTGACGAACAACCTCATTGCAAAGAGGAGAATAATTATTTAAAAGGAATCAAGGTAGGCAAAATCTCAAACAATTGGTATTTAATTAACGTCTATATCTCTAGTCTATATAGCAAGAGGTGGGAGTAAAATAGGTCTTCTGGGTCTGAGTTCACGCTTCTCTTATTCAATATTGTAAAAAATTGCGACATAGGCTACAGATTTCATAAAATGTGGAGAATTAGTACGACTCTATTCTATAATTTATGCACAATATCTCCAAACTCGATAAAAGGATTTTGCTCACGTTCTCTTTATAGATAGAGAAATGTAGAAAGCCTATACAAATTTCGACCAGTCCTTACAACATATATTTTTTAAATAAATAATTTATTCAATAATTAAACGCTATAGCTTAGTTATGACAAATTTAACAGAAGTCACAGTCATCGATCTACTCGTCACCTAGCGATACGATTTGATAGGGTATCCTAAGGGTAGAATAGGATTAGGGTTTAGGTAACAAAGTTAAGAGGATACCTTGAAAATGAATCGAAGTTTATTTTAACAAAACTTCGTTATGGATTAAAAAGCTGGTTTATGAGAACTTAGATATGATTATTTACTATACTTTAAAAATAATTCCATGAAATTATTCGTAAAAATATTGTGGTGTCATCAAGAAATGTAAATAATTAGAGCCTACTTTGCATTTTTTTTATCGAGAAAGTTACATGATATCGTGTTTTCCTTTTATGCAAACCAAGATCATATAGTAAAAAATCATATACCAAAATTTTGGTTTGTAATCTATAAAACTTAAAAAAGTATATTAAATAGAAAAACCACCAAATTTTCGAGGTATCATCACCTTAAATAATAATTTAATTTTTTACGATGACTTCACTATACCTACACACATGATTTTAGCCATGAATAAATCGACTACTAAGTGCATTTTAACCAATAGCTATCTAGTTGTAGCCGGCTAAACCTAGTTTTAACCGTATTTCGGCTTTTAGTCGTAACAATATACGAAAGTTTCTCTTTATAAGTGGGTATATCCTTAAATCATCACGGCAAAAATATTTTTTAAGATAATTGATAGAATCAGGCACTACTTTGCGGAAATCCATTATAATAAAGATATTAATAGTTATTTTGCAACCATCCGCTCAATTATATAAAATGATGTGTCCTACCTAGTTTGAAGAGCACCTCCCGCCCTCCCTCAATTGCGTGCACTAATCCCGTCACCATGGCAATTGAGGGAGGGCGGGAATCATTTTATATAATTGAGCGGATGGTTGCAAAATTAATATTAATATCTTTACAATTAATATTTGACAAGAATTTTTTTTATTATAAATTACACATTTTGATTGTTTGTTTATTTTAACGCAACATTGTAAACGTATCCTTATGATCATCTGATGACGACATTAAATCAAAAAAGTTGTAGTAGTTTTACAACCGAATCCATTATCTATCTATAAAATGCTCGTACGATACGGGGGATAAACAATTTTATTACCACCTTCAATATTAATAAAGACTAATTTGTTTTATCTACGTTATAAATTAATATCCAAAAGTATTTCATCATTATTTGGTGATTTTTTCCTAACCGAATTCACCAGTTCGAGGATATCGATTTTGCAATCACCAAACCGCCTGTCCGATTGGCCATTCTTTCAAATAATGCTTGCCTGCTGGCACATTTTGCTCTGACTTATACCCAGCGCTGTTGTGTGCAGTATGATGAGAAGTGTAGTACTTATGCACTAATACAAGGACACTTGTTTTTCCTAAACTAAACGTATCCGATATTACAATACAACTTTCTTGATTTCTAATCAATAATTTATGTATTTGTACAAATATCCGCTCCCACGAGATTCGACCAGGTTATCTATGACACGGTACTCAAGTACTTTGATTACTTAGAAGAAAAACGTAACTGTGATTAGAATACATAAATCCTTTTGGCAGGGTTCGGTTTTCCGACCGGTGGTGGCGTAAGAAAATCCATTGCTCTGAATAGTCCTGTATGTGTCGTCAGAGGCGACTATTAGAAAAGCTGGAAAATCCTTATAGCCACCGATATATAGTGATTGTACCATATCGCACATTCCAGATGTAATATAACGGAGATAAGGAACATTGCCAAAGGTGCGTGACATCTGGCACTGCGAATGTAATTTCGCCTGCCAATCCTACTTTAAGTACGCGTGACCCAAACCTAAGCACGAACTGTTTTGGGTTAATAAAGAAGGAAACTTATTTTTCATAATATATAAAAATATTGCATAAATGTTGTGGCTTAGATCATGTCGATATTAACAAAATGTCGTAATAAGAGAGCCCCAAATCTTCGCTTCAGTCAATCACAGGTCACAGGCAGGTTACCGATTATATCAGTCTAGTCATGACTGTCTTAATCAAGATCAGAGGCCAGATTATACTGGTAAACTTGAATTCATTCAAATAATTGCATTCAAGAAGAGCTCAAGGTAATGCCTGTTAAATCACCAAATAAAAAGCAGTCTACGCTAGTTAAAATTCTTGTTTTAATTAAATTGAATTTATTTAATTTAGATATTGTTATATTTTTAGATATTGTATTGTTAGTATTAGAGAGTGGGTGAGTAGTTTAAATATATTTATACTTACTTTATTAATAACTGTCTACCCAGAGTTTCAGGACAGTTAACTTTATCAGCAATGACCGTCAGGACGCTGTTGGAGGTGGCCCGCACTCCACCAAGCGGGGACGCTATGCGTTTACGCCTGTGACGTAAAAGTTATTTGAACGTTCTTGCTCAAACATCAGAGACGATCTACAATAACGGGGCAGCCACAATAGTTACCTGAAAGCATTATTACTACATCCGGAGAGTATTATAATCATTTTGAGTGTAGTTGACCCACAGGCCGATAATGTAGAATACCTGAAAATATCATTTAAATAGCGGAATTATAACTCGTTTCGTTCAGTGAGTGAAGCAGCGAGTCAACAAATTTTATCTTACTACCAATGCTTAGTTTCGTATCCAGCTATTCTTTCATCTTACTGGTAATTCATTCATTCATTCATTACAGCCCTTCAAAATTCTACTGCTGAATGCATCAAAATACCCAAGGAACGCCACAAAGCACGGTGCTGTGCCACCTGCATCCATTTACTTCCTGTATCTCTTACCAGGTCGTCACTCCAGCTAGTGAGGTGCCGCCCTACACTTTACGCTTATCAGTGCGAGGCTACCACTCGAGAACCTTTTGGTTGTCTGCAGTGATAATGTAGTCTAAATATTTAAACTGGTTTACACTTTACAGTTTAAATAAAACTAGTTTTTACGGATTTTATCGCGTATATTAACTTTTTTATATGTCCGACGTTTCGAGCACTTTACAGCAGCCATAGTCACGGGAGGGGGACTGAGATGTTAAACGTCTGATTACAATAGATTAAAATTATTAATTTTGTTCCGATCTATTCATTATGAACTTATAGTATCTTGAGTCTTGCAGTAGTATGCTTGGGTCGGGATTTAATTTTATTAATATTTTGTGGTTTACAGTCTCAGTTTACGCGGCACACTAGACTTATTACTTCCAGAAGAAAACACAAAATATTTGCGATACCACCTTTATTTTGGCACTTTTCGAGCAACTCAGCTGCACCATATCGTCGGCGTAACTGATATTATTGACACTCCCTTCAATGTACAGGCTATAAAGGTAAGCTAAAGTCAGCTCACCCAGTCTGACGTGACTCAAAGTTAGCATCGTTCCACTTCACCTGGTTCATTTGGTTATTGTAAAAATACCTGAGAACTTCAATTATTCTAAAATATAGAGTACTAAAAATTTCTCGGCTAGTGTATTATTTTTTTTTAAATTTCACTCACTCTAATGATCACTCACTTTATGTGTATGACGAATGAATATTTTGTGACTTAAAGTAATTTTAATTTGATCTTGCAACTATAACTGTACCATTCCGAATATGATTTATCATGAATTAGTCATTGCTATCAAGATGTGACGAAAACATTGAGCAATGAACTCACAAAAGTTAGGTAGTTATTATTATTTTAAAACAACACTGAATGAGTTAATCTATAAGAGAAGAACTTAAGAGTGTATGGTATGTACTAAAATATAAATAAGTCAAATAGAGCATAGTTTTCCTACAACGAATAATAATTCGGTAATGATGTACTATGAACGACTTAAATAAAAAATATTACAATAGCAACAGCAACAAAGCTAAAACTTCACCTAGAAAGTTTGAAGTATACCTTATTAACTTCCAGGTAAGTCCAGGTAAGCCTGAGCCTGTAGGCTGGTCCGTAACTTATGCTTACGCTGCGCCCCAGTTTTAAATTGATGGGCAATCGACGTGCGCGGCTCAAAACCAGACGCAAGCGCGCGTTCCCAAACTGGCGTTAAATGTTTAGTATTTCAAATTTTAGTTTTTTTATTATTTCAAAATTGTGTGTGGCATTATTTAAAATAATTATTTTGACGATATTTTTAATTAAATGTTAATACGTTCACGATTAAGTAACCTGTATTTAAAATAAATGCATGATATACATGCACAAAAACAATGACTAAAATCGGCATTTTCATTTTATTTATTTTATGGGCAATACATATTATGATGTGTAAAGCCGAAGACATTCTTAAGCGAGACTTGCCTATTTCTTTCAATCAAACCAAAGATTTAGCTGAAATGGTGTGCTCGGAGCTGTTTCCTGATGAGGTATGTCTTTTCGAAAATTTGTGTTGTAACTGTATTCAACATCTTTTTAGCTTGTCTCAAAAAATATAATTTATAAAAATTAAGAAGAGCATATATAGCTTTTTCAACATTTTTGTTAACAATACACCATGGCCACATCATTAAATCAAAGAGTGTCGGGAAAACTTAACTATATTGGAATTATAAGAGTGCCGTAAAATTTGGGTACCTAATTGAATCCTAAAATCATGACAATATTATGTTTCATAAAATGAGTGATTTTAAAACTTATGTTATCAGTTCCAAATATTTTTACTACAAATAAGAGCAATTCATTACTCCTTTTCCAAGTTCTTGTGCAGTTTATTTTAAAATTGTTAAAATTGCTACTTCATCCTTCACGTGAACAGATATCCTTTGTGTTTAAACAGATCCCAGAACGAATTACAAGCACAATTTAAAACAATATAAGGCCACTCTCGGTTCACTAATTTAAATATGTTTCTGTTGTATTTAATAAAACCTATATTACAAGTTTTTGACTTAAATGTGCTTAACATTAAACTCTATTAGGAATTGTTGTCGGTGTGAATCGCTCTGCAACTGCAATAGGTTCTTTGATCATTATAATATTTTGTAACCTCTGACATATGTTGATATAATAATATTAGATTTAAAATTCTTAAGCAAAATGCAATAATCTTGAGATATAACAATCCTATTGAGAATACTAGGTCGTAGTCATCATATTATTGTTTTGTACTCAGCTCTTAATGCATTAGCAAATTTTATATTTCTTCATAGGTCAGAAAGTGTGTGAAAACTGAATTGAAAAAGTCCTTTACATACATACATGTAGGTGAAGCATAAAAGGAAGTTAACAACACATCGCCTTGTAATTAATACTGATATATTTGCATACAACAAAATCAAACATCAAACCTCAAAACGAATCCAACCACTATTCCCACCAAAGTAACACAATTTCATCGCAGATCTTTTTTTATCAATCGTTTAGAAAGCCTCTCAAAAGACAAATGTTTCCATAGTTGCAAAAGTTTTGTGGTATTTAATTATTCTCACAGAATACCAGCGTGAAACAGCAGTTTAAGGCTGCTTTGATTTGTTATGGTGAGTGTAGAGAACCGGACCCCCTTTTTAGCCCTCAGGAGTGACAACGCATCTGCATTTTGATTCTTAATCAAGGATATATGTAGATGTCTATGGGCCACAGCATCCACCTAAAATCATGTGGACGGTGTGCTCGTTTGTCACCGTTATTAAAAAAAAGTTACCATTTGTAAAAAAAACAGTTGTCACTATGGCTTAAATAGTTAGGACATCATTGATAAAATTTTAATATTAATGACACATTTCATCCAAATTATTTAATTATGTTTTGGCACATGTCTCCGAAAAAAATTCGATGTTTTTTAATTTTAAAACGATTACTAATCAAAAGTCATATTATATACTGTTTGTGCTTGAAAATTGCTAGTATGATAAATTGTTTTGTTTAACAAGTAAATCTACGCATTTAGGAACGTTTTTGCAACTCGTCATCATTATTCATAAAGATTTAAAGTCCGAAATATTAATTATAGAATTCTTTCTAGCCGTCGCACGGACCTTAAAAAAAATTATTTAGATCCATGACCCGCCGTTGCATTAAGAGCGCGATGAGAAATTACTGCGTACCTAGTGATTTGCCATTTAATGACGTAAATTCTTTACAGAAGACGATAAGGAACAAGTGAATTTTAATCTCTTGGGAAAGAGATAAAATCCATATGTGAGGTACTTCACGCGTGAACTTTTTGGAGGTCTGTAAAAAGTTTATAACCGCTACCCACTAGCTGCCTCTCGTCTCACATGTACCTACTACCTATACGGGATAAGGGCCTTCGTGGCTTACCTGACTTGAAATTATGTGTCTCATAGAGATGACTGTGTGTTTATACCATTATAGACACTATAGGTGTGTGAAGTCAATTCTCGGTTCATGTTCGGAAAAGCTTTTTTTATTTATAGAAGAGGGGGCAAACGAGCATGCGGCTCACCTGATGGTGCCTACCGCCGCCCATGAACAACTGCAACACCAGGGGAATTGCAGGCGCGTTTCCGGCCTTTTAAAAAAGAGTAAGCTCTTATCTTGAAGGTCCCTAAGTCGTATCGGTCCGGAAATATCGCTGACGGTAAACAATAACACAGAGAAGTTCTACGATGAAGAAAACCCCTAGTGAAACGCACAGCGGTGGACCGCCAAGCATTCAGATGGTGAGGATGGTATCCTGAATTTTGACGCGATGTGCGTTCATGAAGTTTGGCGGCTTGAATTAATTCGTAAATTCCTCAGAGCACTCCCTGTTTATAAATGCGATAGAAAATATTAAGCGATGGAAGCGGTCAAGTGGAAGGAACTGGCACCGGGGTGGCCCGGCACAGAGATGAGAACAGTATTCCCGTCTACATCAATCCTCGCATTATACCAGTACTATCATCTGCATAACAATGAATGTTACCAGTTTGCAACATATCATTGATATGCAGAAGAAAAGCGTTGGTGTTAGCACACGTTGGTTTGGAACACCAGCGTTTATAAACTTGTAATAAGAACATGCACCGTCTACTACGACCTTGATGCTCCAATCAGCAAGGAAGTTTCCTTGCTGATCCAACTGCAGAATTTCTTCGAAAGAAGCGCTTTTTGCCAGACCCGATCGAAGGCCTTCGCTATGTCCAAACTGACCGCCAATGCCTCCCCATTGTACTCTACTGCCACCGTCCATCTATGAGTCAGGTAGACCATAAGATCACCTATAATTTATAATTTATATATTTAAGAATCTTTGCCACTCCGCAAATTCCTTTAACTATACGTCGTTATTTCCTTTAACTATACGCCGTACAGTAGCTACGTAGACATTAGTCGCCTCAGCAGTCTGTTTATAAACGTCTATCATGTTTTTCGCAATACCTAATTATTTCATGTAATAAAACACTGAGTAGACCATTTGTCGGGATTGTCTATTTAAAACCGAATTCTTTCTTCTCTGCATATTTAGACAAAAATCCGAATGCTCAATTTATAACAAAAAAAAAATAATTAAGAATAAGAAATATCAAAAACAGTTAAAAACAAGAAATACACAAACAACAATTAACAACGAGGTAATACTGCAATTAACAAAAATAAACTAATTAAAAAGTTGTCACTAAAATTGCTATCAAGTGTACGGTAGTCGAATGATACGTGCGAACCTAATAGACGACGAGAATCGGCTGGCGAACCAATCACGTTGAGCGTCAGCGTGGTCAACGTCATATCGACCTACAAAAAGTGTGCTCACGACTCGTGCCGGCTATTCTACTCGTGTGTACTTAATCTTAATGCAATAAAGATTATTATTATTATTATATCACCAGCTGATAGACCACGACGATCCTCAAGGTACCTCATGAGCTGGCAGTTTATAATGGACTCCATTATTTTGGAGAACAAGGTGATGGTGATAGGCCTGTAGTTGGACGGGTTTGAGCGGTCGCCGTTTTTAGGGATCGGGTGGACCAAAGCTGTCTTTTATGAATTTGGGGCTACGCCTTGAGAGTAGGAGTACGGGAAAAGATGAGTTAAAATCGGTGCCAACTCCGGAGCACACGTATTCAGCACAATGGGATGGACTTTATCACTCGAATTGCTGACGTCCAGGGAGAGGAGTGCTTTGCGAACCGAGCTCTGTGTAAAAACCACACATCCGGCATGGAGCACTCACACCGCGGGATGGTAAGTGGTGTGTTCTCCCCGTCATCGAGAGTCGAGTTGGACGCAAAGAGAGAGCCTAACAGATCCGCTTTCTCCTTTGCGGTATGGGCCAGTGAGTCGTCCTCTCTGTGCAGAGATGGAAGAGATGACTGACAGAAATTCCCTTGGACAGCCTTGAGAGTCCAGAATCCCTTGCGTTCTTCCCGAAGGAAGGCGAACTAGCTTCTCGCCAATTCTGCCGATGTGCTAAGACCTTGCCTTGGCAATGACTAGTTGTAACGTTTTATTATTGTAATTATTGTATGTACTATGTACCTACATTAAATGTCTTTAAACCAATTTCGCTGGATGATCCCAGCGATGCTGCTGACTCTGTCACTGCTGTGGTGCTACAGAGAATGGAACTATTTATTCTATCATTTGTGGTACCCATCGGAGGCAGATCTCAACCTTGGTTGGTTTGATCACTCCTCCAAGATTGCATTAAGCAGGAGTGTTATCTCTGTGGAATCGTTTACCACCGGCGATTTTTACGGACCGGTACAACTTAGGGAGATCCCTAAGTAGTATCGTCCTCTTCAAAAAAAAAAAAAAAAGATTTTACTCCTTTCTAAAAGGCCGGCAATGCATCTGCAATTCCCCTGGTGTTGCAGTTGATCACGGGCGGCGGTTGTCACTTTCCATCAGGTGAGCCGCGTGCTCGTTTGCCCCCTCTTCTATAACAAAAAATCAAAACTACTGAAAAAGTTTAATTTTTTAACTTATAATTATTATTTAATTTTGGGCTTTAGAAATTTGCATCCATTAATAAAAACATAATAAAATACGTTAATATTTTTTTCATTAATGCATTCGTAGTGACCTTTGTTCGGTTATGCGTTGGATAGCTATTCAAAACATGGATGTATGCGGCTTCCACCGATAGCTATATATTGATAATCCTCAATAAATATACTAAAATATTGACTGCCATTTTCCCGCCACTATGGTATTTGGAACGCTAACCTTTTCTGAACTATGATTTAGGACTTCTGCACCAAAAATTATATAATTTTAAGTTTGTCTTTCAATCCTAATTACCTTATTTGTAATTAATAGTTTCGGTAACTTAATTATTTTGATGAAAGTAAGTACTTAACGAAGTTGATAGGGACCCGGAGCTCGAGTTTTTATTCTTTAATATTATATAAATAGTATAATACTTATTTATTGTTCATAATAGTTAAATTGCGAATGGATAAACATCTAGATCCAGAAC